AGGGAAACAACAGACTCATACTTGGAGATTTGACATAAGAGGAATTAGAAAATTGCTCAGCATTTCTCGCTTCAGAATAGACCGTACAATGCAGTCTGGATCATCTACAATGCGAAATATAACGTGTTTCGCACAATGCAGCTTTTTTTTTTAACTAGATGAGAGCATAAAGAATTTTTTTGCTAAGAGACCTTCCTACTAAACACAAGCATTTTTTGGATGATAATATTTTTTGTTAAAATTAGCCCCACAGTGTCCTCTGTTGGCATTAAAAAATTCTAGAGTAAGTTTGCTGAAAGTAACCCTGTTAATCAGAGGTTAGCTCTCTGGTTAGTGGAGCTTATATATTTTCTTATTTTCTCCAGAAGCTTTGGGCGAGACGGCCTAGAGCGCTCACTAGCTGCCATACGGTGGGGTAGATGGGCCCTGTCCGCAACAGCGTAGGTTGGTCACGGGGCTAGAGTGTCAGGTACGCAACCAGCGATCTTTATAAACACCATGAGGAAGATCATATTAGCACTGTATGCCAATGAAAGCTAACCATTGGCAACTTTGGGCAAGCTTGTCACAGATGGACTGTGCTCTTTAAGAGTCGGGCTGTGTTGTAGTGATCCATGCTGTAGAGGCAAAGCTATAGAGCAGTGGTTCTCAACCTGTGGGTTGCGACCTCTTTGGCGGGTGGCATGGCAAACATCCTGTGGATCAGATCTTTACATTACAGTTCGTAACAGTAGCAAAATTACAGTTCTGAAGTAGCAACAAAATAATTTTATGGTTGGGAACCACCACAATGTAGGAATATTAAAGGAAGGTTGAGAAGGTTGAGACACCGAAGCCCCTGAGCCTGGACCTGGGAGTGTTGAGTACAGTAATTCCCCTGAAGTCTAAGCTAACATGACCTTTTTTGTTTTTTGTTTTTTTTTAATAAGGAAACAAATAGCTCTGAAAAGATACGTGGGATTTTAGGCATGTTGTTAATGTGGAGTCAGGTCAGAGAGGGTTTTGGAGGAAGGTGGTGTAATTCAGTTGTCTTCCAGGCGGAGTTACTTTGTATCTGTTGGAAGGGCAGGTGACTGGAGGTTTAATTGGAGAAGATCCATTCAGGGCAAAGAACTAACTAATATGCTTGAAACTAATCAGTCTGAATCATCCGTGGTAGACGCTACACAGTCTATGCCTTTGTTCTAAGTTGTAGTTGGTGAGAGCACTGTGTTCTAATTTTCTTTTAAATATTGACAGTGGTTTGGAGTCTTGAACTGTTTGCTTGGGTTTTAGTATACTTAGAGAATGATCATTTGCTCCAACAGAGGACAGTTCTTCTAGTTGTAGCTAGCCACACAGGGAAATGCACTTCACAGTGTGTTTGGTAAACTGGAGATGTTTGCTCTCGGTTGTGGGTTTTGTTGTTGAAGTGGCCATGTGCCCTCATAGCACCTCCTTGGGGAGTAGAGAAGGAGAGCGGAAAGCCAGTGGGTAACCTCAGTGGATGTCCCCAATGTCCCGCGGAGAGCAGACGGTGCTGCCACCTTGTTGTCACAGTTGTCTGACCCGAATGTGCTTAAACACCAGGCGCTTGCCTGTTCCGGAAAAGACCTTCTCACTTTTTCTCTGTCAGTGCTTGCAGAGCCGACTTGAAGTCAGTCAGTAGTGCCCAACTGGATTCAGTAATTAGCGTAGTCGTGATGCTGTGCATTGTTCGGCAGGGCACACCCCTTGGCCAGAGTCCCATTAAAGAGGACACCAGTGTTGTCCTAGTGAATAAATCCCGGCCCACATGATGCAAACCAGCGTGTTCCTGCCTGCTGCTCGGCTGCAGTTAATTTTAGCCAGCGTTTGTTCTGAGTTGTAAAACTGTGTACCCAAGTAGAAGTTAGAGAGCTGCAATGTGATTGCTGGGCCTGATAAGATAGGCATCTATTTTAGACTCCAGATTGTGTTTATATGATCCAGAGAGAAGACCTCTGAAGAACTGTGCTTCAGATTTTCTTTCAAACTACTTGTGAGTACTCTGGGAATTTTAACATTTCTCTTTGTTCTCTATACCTTAAATCTCCCTGAAGTGACTATCATGGTAATTGTATGTGCCTTGGGAAAACTAGTGTGGCTGCTGCGACTGGTCCGTGTCGGAACAGTGATCCAGTGATCCCTTTCCATGTGTGCTGCTGCGAGCACCTTGACTTAATCAGCTCTTCCCGGAGAAAGTATTTGATTCTCATTCCGTCTTATTTCTTTAGTTGTAGATTAGCCCTTGTTTTGAATGTTAAAATGTTAGATGGGTAGAAATGGTTTCTGTACACAGAAATGTCACAGTGTTTCTAAGCTTCCTTCTCTCTGGTAGCCCCTGTGGGGGACGCATGTTGAAAGTTAATTCCTGTTCTACCCCTCTCAAGTGGATCTGTTGCAGAGACAAACGTTGTCTCGCCAAATGTATAGACAGAAAATATCTTTTTTAAAGGAAAAGCTTATGCTTAAAAATAGACCTTTCCCTGCCTAAGGAAAATAACTTTATAAGAACCCATTTAGGAAGAAGGTCTTCAAGCAGTGGTTCTCAGCCTTCCTAACTCTGTGACCCTTCAGTACAGTCTCTCATGCTCTGGTGATCCCGGCCATAAAATTATTTTTGTTGCCACTTTATAACTGTAATTTTGCTACTGTTATGAATCAAAATGTACATTTTTGGACATAGAGATTTGTCAAAGGGGTTGAGACCCACTGTTTTAGAGGATGATTTCAAGTGTGTTGGCTTTGTTATTAACAGTATCTAAAGCTCTGAACTGCTTTCCAGTTTGGCCAGCCCTAGCTTAAGTCTAGACTGAAGCAAAGGCAAGATTCCAGTGTTACTTTGAATCGAACACAAGTCACCCTGCATAGTTTTAACTATGTTTACACTTCAAGTAGAATGACTTAAAGTCAAGCGGCTTAACAGCATAGAATCCGAAAGAAATCTCTCTATCGGTTAACTACACCCGCTTTTAGGAATGTGGATTTTTTTTTTTTAATAAAACAGTTGTTCGCCCATATCTCCATCTATAAGCAAAGAGGGAGGCAAACCCAGGGTTAGTTATGTCATGTTCCCATTTTACAAAACTTTACCTAAAGGTTTCTTTGTTGTTCTGTGTTGTCTGACTCTAAATACAAATGACATAAGGTGTCAACGATGAAAGGAAATGTTTGAGTGCTGCATTTTGTAGGAAAAGAATGTAAGAATTGAAAATAGCACTGAATTCCTGGGCTATTTTTAGATAGAAACATTTTTTGAAGCTTAGCCTTCCGAGCAAAAGAGAAATCTGTAATTCTAATAGAAAAGGCCCTACTGTCATCTTGAGCGGAAGGGGCTCTGTTCCGGCAGATGCTCCGAGATGCTCATGTCATCGCAAGACCGCTGCAGCTCTTGACCTTCTATTTGCCCTTGCTAAGAAGCCCCTGGGAGCCCTTGAAGTATTCATAATGATGTGCTCTGGTCCTGCTAGTTTTCAAGCTAAAATTAATTTGATCATTGTAGTTTTTAATCTTGCCCAAACGAAAAGCTGATTAGTATTTATCCAGTTTGAATGTAACAGAAAGAGGTTTATCTGTTAGTGGGAAGCTTGTGTTCTGGGACAAATTGCTAAAATACTCCTAGACACTTGCAGAGCGTGCGTTAGTGATTTCCTTGTGGTGAGAGTGATAGGTTCTTCAACGCGGGACTATGCACTTGGTGGTGCTGGGGGCTCGGGTGGTGGCTGCTCCTATAATTCTTTTCAGTATTGGGTGTGTATCCTTGGTGTCCCATGAAGGGCCACTTGCCAGAGATCCCTCACAAGTGGAATTAGTTATGTTGAGTAGTTGTGACTTTGAATGCAACAGATTACAGTGAGCTTGACTCTGTGGCCACACATGGGAGGTCGCATGCTAAGAAACACGGGCTGCCTCCATACTACAGGAAGAGCCAGCTGGAACCTGCCTGCCTTGCTGCCCCTCCACTCCAGGTCTGCCCGCAGGTTTGTGGGATCTGCTCCCACTGGCTGCCTGCCCCTTTACCTTCCTCCTTGCCTTAAATCCTGCTGTGCTGAGGCAGTAGGTTTACTCCGCAGTTCCTTTAATTACAGCCTTCTACTCCAGAGCCTTGAGGAGCTTAGCAGCAGCCTTTGGCCTGGCTCCCCTGCATTCACGTGCTCTCTGTTTGTTTAGCTGGTTGGTTGGTTCATGCGGGGATGTGAATAGCGTCCAGGACCTCCAGTACTCGCAAGCACTCACCGTCCGAGTTACCTCTCCAGACCCCACATCAGGGCTTTGATCAAGCAGCAGCCTGTCTGCCTGGCTATAGGCAACTGCATTCTACAACAGCTTGCCTTTGCTCGGTGATTACATCCCTGGAACATTCGCTTTGAAAGGGCAATTTGGCAGAAAAATGTTGTGGTGTGCCTAGTTTCAACCGTCTTGTCTAAAGTGAAAGGAGGGTGGGCAGAGCGGAGCCCCCAGTTGTGCCTGTGTTGACTCCAGTCAATAGCTGCCGGGCTGCCCGGAAGAATGCTGATGTTTCTGGGAAATACTGGGACTGCTGTTGTTATGTGCTGAGCACCTCCACAGCGCACACAATACACAAAGAGAGCATAGTACAAAGAGCTCACGCGCTAAAGCTCGGCAGTGCCAGAAACGGGGGCCCTGACATGCAGTAAACAAATTGGCAGAAAGACAACGTGAAAAGGGAGAAGTGGGAACTAGAGCACGGGTGTTTTGAGGGCACGGTAGCTTCTGTTTCTGTGGCCACTTGCAGGATAGGATTGGGTCAGGCGTTTGTGTCCTGGTGCGGCTTTGCTCTAGGTAGCAGCTGGGGCTAAGTGAGGCCGCCCAGAGCCCCATTGTCCACTCCCAGTCCTTATCACTGCCACCAAAGGAGGCATTGACGTTTCCCATCACTTGAAGCTATTGTTGGGTGGTGGCTTCAGATCTAGTGTGACAGTAAAAGCAGGCTTCTCTGTTAAACTGTTTAGACTTGGAAATCTGACCTTGCGTTCCAGGTTCTGTATTCTCTCCACGGGGTCACCTGGCCCCGTTCTGTCTTAGAATGCTGCGCTGTGGCATCTATCTGGTTTCTCAGAAGATAAGCATTCTTAATGTCTGTGCAACGCTGCTGAAGCTCCCGGAGAGTCAGGAGCACGTGACAAAGGAGCGCTAACAGGGCGGCCTTGGCGACAAAAGACCCATGAATGTGTGCACAGGGTTGCTTCTGAGTCATTCGCCCTGGCAGGTCGCTGACTCGGGTTCTGGGTCTTGTTTATGGCTCTACATCAGAAAGAAACTTGGAGACATTCAACAAAGAACTTCAAGAGAAAAGAAAAAAAGAGTCAAGGGTTGGAAATGATGGTTACAATAAGAAGAGGTTAGAGGACTTCTCTTTAGCCTGGAAGGGAGGAAACCGCCTGAGGGACTCTTTTCGTCCAGATACACTTGTGCTTGTGCATCGATCCAAAGGTCGTGAAGAACAGCTGGCACCGCTGCCCTTGGGAATGTAAAGGTTCAGGTACAGTGATTGCCGTGGTGTGGCTGCCACCTGCCAACTTCAGTTCCGCCTGGGAACACGTCCAGGTTCTCGGGCCCACCCAGACCTATTAATTTGGAATTGGTGGGGAATATAGGTTCTCAGGCCCACCCAGATCTATTGATTCGGAAGTGGCCAGAATGCAGGTTCTTGGGCCCACCCAGACCTATTGATTCTGAAGTGGTCAGGATTGCAGGTTCTTGGGCCCGCCCAGACCTATTGATTTGGAAGTGGTGAGGCTGTAGTCCAGGGCTCTCTTTTAACAATTCTCTAAAGCAATTCTGATGTCTGTTCCACAATGTATTAGGAAGAAAAGTACCACAGGAAGAGGAACAAGGATGCTGAAAAGTGTGAACTTTTCTCTCTGGAGTAATAGAAACTTGGGTTTATATTTATTTGCAATTTTTAAAATATTATCTCTGACATCAGGAGATAATGACCTTTCTAACCCTGACTTGACTCTGAATTGCTTTTGGTCATTAATATTTAACCTAGAAAATACTGCATTAACTTTTCTGAATTCAGTAATTAAGTCAGTGCCTGTCTTTGTTTTCTGTTTGTTTGGGGTTTTGGTTGCTGTACTAGAAATGGAACCCAGGGCCTCACACCATGCTAAGAGCAAGTGTTCTTTCACTGAAATATGCCCTCAGTGTGATAATACTAGGCTGTTTTTGTTAAGATTTATTTGTTTATTTATTTGTGTGTGCGTGTGTGAGAGAGAGAGAGAAAGAGAAAGAGAGAGAGAGAGAGAGAGAGAGAGAGAGAGAGAGAGAGAGAATGTCATGTCTATGCAGGTGCCCACGGAGTCTTTAAGAGGATTATTCGATCCCCCAGAGCTGGAGTTCCTGGTAGGTGTGAGCAGCCTGATGTGGGCGCTAGGAACAGAATTCAGGTCCTCTAGAGGAGAGCAAGGGTAGCTGCCGAGCCGTCTCTTCAGTTGCAGGCACCAGTTTTAAATGAGGATACAAAGAATAAGATGAGAGAGGTGGTAAGTGCTATCGGATGGATCGTAGTAGGTTTAGCAGTGGAACTAAATAGATGTATCCCTCCCCAGTGTCTTCTTCACAGCCACTGAGTGCCAGCCCTTGCGCACCATGCCACAGACTGCCGACTAGATCAGTCACTGTCTTCCTGAAACCTCTCAGAAGAGAGGTGGTATGGGCAAAGCGTGACTTTAACTAGTTTCCACCTCCACCAAGAGAGAAAACTAATAAGCCGTGGGGAATTTCCTCTGCAGAAGTAGATGGCCCCATAGAAAGACTTGAAGGGACACAGACCCAGTATGACGCACTGTGCCTCTCCACTGGAGGCACGGGATAGAAGCTCGACTCAGCTTGACACCCCTTTGTGTAGCAAGTAACCCACTGGTATACGTAGGCGCCGCTCAGAGTTGAATTATCCAGTTGATATGTCCAAAGCCACCTGGGCTCTGCCCTCTTGAATTTCATGAGTTCTGTAGACTTGAGCAAGCAGCAGTTTGGGCGCTGCCCAAGTTAGTTAATGTCTCCTAACAATCCCTTTCACTATCCCTTGACTCTTTATAGGTCATGTCAATGATTTCTTTTCCCCTTCTTACATTCTCCTTTGCCGTCTTTGCTTGTGGAAACTGTCTTTGGTTGAAAACGAACTTTTGAGATTGTCTGTTACCCCTTGTCTAGCCCTAAAGACTTCGTGGCTGTGATGGAGAAAGGGCTCTGAGAGGTCATGCTTTTCAGTTCTGCTTTAAAAATATCAGGTGAGCAACACTGCCACAGCCAAAAGAACATCCCCTCCCTGAGTCAGGGAACTGTGGCCTTAGTATTTTAGCACTTGAAAGATTAGGTAGACTCTTTGGCTTTTCTAGATATAATTAATCACACATTTCAGAACATTACTATGTCCTTAAAGTGAGAAGGATAATAAAGACCGCTTTAGCTCAGCCCCACTCTCGCGGTGAGGGACACAGTGGGACAGAGGCAGGAGTGTGTCCATTGACAGACGCACTCTGGTTTGGGCTCCTGTTATAGCTGGAAAAGCCTCAGACACCAGGCTGCAGAAGTTGTTTCGTTTGTGTTTGTACATCTGTGTCAGTTTCAGAGCACATGAAATCCTGGGAACACAGTGGCGGCGTACTAAGATAGACGTGTCTCACCACTCCAGAAGTCAGAAAGAACTGGTTTCTGGCGTCCTGGATGAGCCCCAGTAGTCTCCTTAAAGCCCAGGAAGTCTCAATAACTGCATACTCAATAGGTAAAAAAATCCAGTGTGTCATTATGCTCTTAATGATAGAAGTCAAAGGGCTTTCATTGGAGTCAGGGTGCAGCCCAGGTAGAGTGGATGATTACCAAGTGTGTCTCTAGGTCTGGTCCAATCCTGCCCGACTTTCTCAAAAGAAGGCTATTTCCATTTCTGTACAAAGAGAGGTTACTGAATAGTCTTCTTTTCTTTAGTATTTCTTTCTTGGAAAAATAAAGTTGTTTTAAAAATCAGTTTAAAGCTAGTTCGTGTATGTGCCATTTAAAATAAAATTATCTGTATGGTTTGAATAAGCCTCATCTCGTCAGACTTGTTCACCAAAGGACTAAACTTGAAGAGAGAGGCTTGGGGGAAGAGCTGTCTGCACTGGGTTTCTCTGTGTGGCCCTGGCTGTCCTGGAACTTGCTCTGTAGACCAGGCTGGCCTTAAACTCAGAGGTCTACCTACCTCTGCCTCCTGAGTGCTGGGATTAAAGGTGTGCACCATGCCTTATTTTTACTTATTATTAGGAAATGAAAGGATTACCTATTAATTAAATAAAATACTAAAAAACAATAATATAAAGATTAATCTGTAATAACACACAGTAACATGAAACCATGTAGCATATGAACTAGTGATGTTCCATGTGTAGTGAGTAAACCCAGCAGGTTACAAAATGTTGTATATTTATGACCCTGTTCCTATAAAGGTGACTCCTCACAGTAACCTTCGTGAGCCCCTGACCTTTGATTTTACAGGTCATGTAAATGCATCTTAATTTAGAGATGCCTTTGCCCTTCCTTACATCCTTCTTTACAGTTTTTTTTTCCTTGAAGGAATATTTTGGGTTAAAAATACAAATGTTTGGGACTATCTGTGGCATTTTGCTTTTAAGACAGTCAGAGCTTCTCACGATTAGAGTGCAAAAAGGTCTCTGTGAGGGCATGTCCTGTAGGCAGAAGTTTCCGTCCTGGCTGGTTCTGCAGCCATTCAGTCCAAATAAACACACAGAGGCTTATATTAATTGTAAACTGTTTGGCCTATTGCTCAGATTTATTACTAACTAGCTCTTATAACTTAAATTAACCTATAATTCTTGTCTATGTTTAGCCACGTGGCTTGGTACCTTTTTTCAGTAAGGCATTCTCATCTTGCTTCTTCTGCACCTGGCTGGTGCTGACTCTGCCTTTCCTCTTCCCAGAATTCTCCTAGTCTGGTTGCCCTGCCTATACTTCTTGCCTCACTACTGGCCAGTCACTGTTTTATTAAACCAATATGAGTGACAAATCTTTACAGTGTCCAAGAGCATTATGTGCAGCAATATACAATATATAGGTATAGATATATAACTATAGATATAGTTGTTGAAGATAGCTTCTTGGTTAGCGATGGGAGCTCATGTCCACTACCCCTCTTAGCAGTAGGACACTGTCTGACTTGAACCTGTGCAGGCCCTGTGAGTTTACATGGTTGTCAGTCCTGTTATATGTATATGGAAAAAGAATGCTATGTACAAAATATTATATATTATAATAGTGTAATTATTAATAATAGTTATCTCTAGTCAACTTTTTAAATTGAAAATAATTTTTCCATACAATGTAGTCTGGTCAGTTTCCCCTCCCCATTTCCTTCCAGATCCTCCCCACCTCCGCGTCCACCCAGCTCCATGCCTTCTTTTTCTCTCTCTTTTTAGGAAACAAATTTTTTAAAAGAAAGAAAAACACAAGAAACACACACACACACACACACACGAAAAAAAGAAACATAAGAAATGTGCACACACTTACACAAACCCATAAAAGCAAAAAATAGGAAACAATGACATACAAGCAAAACTAGTAAGATTTTTAAAATGTCAAAACAAAGCACAACGAGACAAAAAAAATCCACAAAAATGCCACCGAGTTCTTTTTGCATTGTGCTTTTACATTGGGGCATAGTCCCTCCCTTATGTGTGGTTTATATACCCAATAAGAGATCCCATTTTAGGATTGTGTGTTAGGTCTTTGGCTATCTGCACACTGTCCAGTTGTGGGTCTCTGTGTTGGTTCCCACCTGCTGGAGGAAGCTTCTCTGGTGACACCTGGGTGAGACACTGATTTATGGGTATAGCAGAATGTCATTAGCAGTCCTTTTATTGCTATTTATCTTTAACAGAGCCATAGTATTTGGTTTTCCTCTAGGTTCATGACCTATCTAGTCTCAGATCCTTGGCCACTGGCGCAGTATCAGTCTTGGGTTCCATCTCATGAGGCTGACCTTAAATCCAAGCAGATGGTGGTTGGTGACTCCCGCAACACCTGTGCCACTATTGCACCAGCATATCCTGCGGTCAGGTCACTGTTGTAGACCGAAGAGTTCATTGGCCTCAACTTCACTTCTCTGTGTTCAGTGAGATAGGAAAGTGCTGTCTAGCAGCAGGGCCTTACCATCAGTTTGTGGGAGCAGTCAGTAACCTCGGCAATAGCCTGGGTTATTTGGGGGTTTCCGTGGCATCTCTTTGGCCAACAGCCTTCTGGCATTGGAGGTTTACTTGTGGGAGAGAGATACCTAGTTGGGGCTTTGTCTCCCCTGTTATTTGGTGGCTCCATTTAGATTCCCCTCATACATGTATATATTTTAAGAAGCACCTACTGTAGTAGTTTTCCATATGATCCCCCATGGCCCTTAGTGCTGACTGTCCCTCCCTCTATTCCCTCCTTTACAGCCCTCTTCCCTCCTCTTCCCTGCTTCATTCTGCTCCAGTTTCCCCCTCTCCCTAT